TCATTACAGCCGCTCAGCATAACCTTGTCAGCTCAAGGCGCCTTCCCTACAGCTCCCGGCCTTTGTGCAAGACCATCTCAGCTCGCGACGGAAAATATTTGTGCCGTGCGTTGTGGGCAACGAGCCAAGGCTGTGAGAAGTGTCCCTCGGCAGGCAAAACCCACCCAGATGATCTGTATCTTCAGGCCGGGGTTACGGTTCGAAGTCTGTTACTTGTCCTAATGATGGCCATGGGGCACGGTAGTCCAGGATCCGGGCACAACACCCCCCATAAATGTTTTTAATATGTATTGATGATTGGTTAAAATTTTGATTAGGATGCTGTGTTTTATTTTGTCTTGTCAAACTGCTCTGAATCTATGGTAAGGGACAGTCTTAAAAAGTTTTAAATAAATTAATTAATTAAAGTGTCGGCCCAGGTGAACCTCTCTGGGGAGTGTGTTCCATAACCAGGGCGCCACCACAGAGAAGGCCCTTCTCCGGGTAGCCACCCTCCTAATCTTCTTCAAGGAGGGCTCCCGGAGAAGGGCCTCCGCCCCAGATCTTAGGGGGCAGGCAGGCAGGCACATAGGACTGCCTATGCGTTCTGGATGCCTGCTCCCCTCAGCCCCATCCGGCATGGCCCATGCTCAAGAATGCCGGGAGTCCTAGTCCGAAAACTCTGGAGAGTGCCAGAAAGAGGGCTCGCAACACCCACTTCCAGCGAGACAAAGGACGATCGGTATTTACATCAGCTCTGAAGAGGCTGGTTTGGATGCAAATCCACGAATGGCTGCTGTGCCTTGAGCAGTTCTGTTGGGTATATCTCGCCATTGCACGGATGTGTGGCCAGTGACCCATGCGCTCCCGGCTGCTGCTTACGGGCATCTCCAAGACCCTGGCGCTCCTCCTTCCAATGGCTCGTCGTCATTAAACCAGGCTTGGACTGGATAGAGAAGATGCCTTCAGAACTGGGGGCAGTCCTTTGGTGGCCTTTAAACAGAGGGCTGCCCACCGCAAACGAGGACACACGGCCACACAGAGCAGAGGGGTGTCCCTGCAGTGCCTGAGCTGCTGCTCCTACCAAGCGCGGCTCAGCAAGAGCAAGAGCAAGGCGCCATTTTCCCTTCTCAGCGGCCAGGGTTGAAATTATGTGGGAGGAAAGGAAGCAGCTCCACCTGAGACCTACAAGCCCCTCTTCTGGTGTCTCACCCCCCCCCCCCCCGTTACACCCCTTCCGGCCACATCTTGGAGCCACGCTCCTCTTGTACGCATTTGCCGTGATCCCGCTCTGCTTTCTGGACTTTTATGGATTATGTACTTACCGATTTTTATTGTCCCTGCTTTGTGTGCTTTTTACCTTCCGCATCACCTTGGCAGGTCCTTGCATGAAAGCCTGGCTAAAAAGGATGTTAAATAAAAGGAGTTAAACAGTAACTCAGGGGACCTCCAGCCCCCTTCAGCGCCTCTGCAATTTGAGCACTGCAAGTGCCGATGAATCCAGCACGCCCCCTGACCCCTGAAGTCAGGAACCAAAATGCCTCACACCCAGTTCCCTTCTGTATTTACTCTATTTCTATCCCACCCTTCTCCACTGTGGAATGCAAGGGAGCTCCTTGTGGTGTCCCAGGGGTCTCCCCTCCAAGCTCTGGCCAGACCCAACCCTGCTTAGCTTCAACATGGTGGACACCCGATGGGCCTTCAGACCATACTCCGAGGATCCACACTCGCCAGGGGCGAGCCCCCATAGCCTTTTAAGACAAGACAACCCCACAACCCCACCACAAAGTCCTCAACTGGCTTGTCACATTAATAGACTGATCTGTGTGCCTTGTTGCATCCTCTCTATCCTTTCACGCACCTCGAGAATGGGGCTCCATCTTCACGTCATGTTTGCGGTATGTGGGGAGGCTGGTCCTTCTCATGCCATCACAGGGGCTGGGGCTTCCCGGCTTGCAATGGACATGAAAGGCAGGAATTTGGTTTTTCCACATTCTTCGGAGAACTGGAAACACTGAGGACAGAAGGCCGCCCTCTGCATTTAAACCCCTGATGAAACTTTCCAAGTCAAGCATGGCCAAAAAAAAATTTTTTCCAGATGCAGCGCCAGCCAGAGAGATGAACCTGCAGGGGATGACCTTCATGCAAAGCAAAGGGAGATGCAGAGCAGGAAGTGTCGAGCACGGCGATTCACCACTCGGCCCGTCTGGCTGCTCGGAAACCAGCCGGAACGCGTCCCGCAGCCGCTCCCGCCAGCTCTGGCGTTTCGCGGCTGAAGTGAGGAGGGTCGCACCGGCCAGAGAAGAGGATGCAGCTTGGCCAGCCGAGCCGAGTTCCACCCAACGGCTCGCTGCGCCCAAACCAGTGGGGTCTCCAACAGTGAACTGCACTGCAGGGTGTTCTCGATCAAGGCCAGGCGCACTGTGGTGGTCCTGCCCTTCCCGTGATGGAGGGGATGCAGCTCAGTGCCAGAGCCCCCACTCGGCACACGGAGGGTCCCTTTCCAGGAACGACCCCTGCCTGAGTCTCAGGGGAGCCGCAGCGGGCAGTCCGCGTTGGCAGCACGAGGCAAGGTGGACCCAAGGTTGGACTCGGCGCCACCCCACCCAAATTTTTTCTATCCCTCCCCAACAACCAGCTAGTCTTCTTGACCCACAAGCACACTCGGTCCATCTAGGGTGGTTTTGGGTCACTCCCCACAGCCTTAGAAATCTTGTTGCCCCTGCAGTGTTTTGTTTGTTTGGACTGGTACAAAACCTTTAGGCATCCCTGGACAGCGTGACTCCAGTCTTGCTTTGGGGCTATGAAAGTAGACAGATTCAGCTAATCAGTTTGCTCTTGCTGGTATTTATTAAATATATTTTTCGCCCACAAGGAACCTAAGGCAGTTTACTAGGTTTGCCTCATCTCCATTTTATCCTCACAACAACAACCCTGTAAGGTAGGTCAAGACTGAGAGCCCAAGTGACTCACGGGGCTTCATGGCTGAGCTGGGACTAGAACCCCAATCTCCTCCGTCCCAGTCCAACACTCTAACCACTAGGCAGCACTGGTTCTTGCTGGTATAGAAGATACAATCATCTTTGCCAAAGTCTGTTTCAATACACAGGCAAGAAGTCCAGAAGACGTAACAAGGAGGAGGAAACCAGCAGCAGCAGCTGCCATATGAGGCTTCAGGAGTTCAGGAACCAAAGCATGTTACTTGTCTTCTTGGCCATGCGCACGGGAAAGCACGTCTAAGGCGGCAGCCATGGTCTGCCACGCACAGAGTTTTTCCATGTCCCCAGGGCCGAGTCAAAGGACTCCTCGGCCTGCTCAGATGACTTTTGCCCACGACGCAGAAAATTCCCACCTGCTCTCCAACTTCCCGGTAGTAAAACTGCGGCTAAGGGGCGCCAATATGGTAGCACTGCTGGATTTAGGCCAGTCGGGGCCTCTGAATGTAGACCTACCTCACAGGGTTGTTGTGAAGATGAAACAGGAAGGAGAAGGGATAGGCATGACCACCTGGGTTCCTTCCAAGAGGAAAAGGTATAAATGTAATGCATGGATGGCAGATTTATATTAAGTTTCATCACATTGCAGCTTGTGGTTTTTACAAGTGGGGAATTGCCCAGAGATCTGTTATTGGAAATGATAACAAAAAGATGTTGCAGGTGCAATGGAAGACATGGCTGGTTAGCAGGAACCTTGGAGACAGCGTGGTACAGTGGTGAGAGAGCTGGACAGGGAGTCCCAAGCAGGGCCCGTGGCAAAGGGGGGCATGGCTGGGCATCTGGCAAGGACCCTCCTCCCAAGCAGGGGCAACACCCCCCTGCCCCCCCCCCCGGCAATCCCAGTCTGGGCCAGGCAACCGTGCGGCTGGTGAGAGGAGTGGGGATGCCCTGCCTGAGAAGGGAGCAAGGAAGAGGAGCACAAGCAGCTGGCGGCCATGGGGCCGAGAAGGCAGACGCAGGGGACCCCACGAAAGATGATGCCGTGCCCACAACCCTCCAGACTCTGCAGCCACCACAGGTCCGAGCCTCCTCCATGAGCTCGAGAGTGATTTCATGTCTGCCATGTCCTTCCTCTAGACCTGAAAAGGACTGGATCCTTCCCCAGGGAAGACTTCCCCTCTCCCTACCTTCTTCCCGGGTGTGCAGAGAGTCTTAGCTCATGGAAGCTCCTGCAAAGTTTGTACGCCAAGTGACAAAGATGTGGAAGCCATTCTGCAGAAGCACAGCAGGGCCTGACGGTCCACTTGGTGTATTATTTACAGCCACAAAAAAATAAAAAATAGTTTCCTAGGCAGCTCGCTTGTATTTGTATTTCCCCTTGATCATATGGAAGCAGATGCCTGGTTGTGTTTTCTTTTGTGAATTTGAGGTCCGCGGGTGACGAATAAGCTTGAGACTGATTGATTGCCCCTTAATTCCAAATTTGCATCTCTCTATATAAATTTAGCCAGAGCCAAACCAAATGCAAACCCAGCCCCTCTTCCAGGTGCTACCTTTCCTTTTTTTTTTTTTTTTTTTTTTGGAGGTGCATCCGTGGCCACCCGGCCCCCATTCTCCTGACTCCGCTTCAGTTTCATCACAAATCGGAGGGAGATCAGCACGGATGCCCTAGGATGGCATCTGGCCCCGAACAGAGCTGACTCTGACTTTTGGGGACCTTTCCTCAGCAAGCTGACCTGTCACCTGTACAGGCACCACCTGTGCTGGCTGCCCATCTCCTCCCTCCACATGGCTGCCCCTTGCTTCCAGGACAGGTGGGCAAATAGCGCGCTACTTCTCCAAGGAGTCCTGCATCCACATCTTGAAGGACCTGTAACCTGAAACCTGCTTTGCTTTCCAATCAGAAACTGCTTAGACCACATTCTCCAGAAGTGTTTAAAGAGGGTGGGGCTTCAGCATTTACTCAGACTTTTTTGCACGTTTCGGTGGCATTGGCAAGCCAGAAATATTACGCAGCGGACCGGTGAATAGCTGGCCCCCAGATCATCTCCCCGAGCAGCGACGGCATCTCTGCGCATATCTAAAATGGCCTTGCTAAATGTATTTCTCTCCTATCCCACCTCGTTTTGCTTACTGTGCACACTGGTCTTTATAGCATCACTCTGCCTTCGAGCCCGCTGTAGAAAATCGTCTTTTAAACTGCCCCCTGGTCCAACACCGTTGCCAATCATTGGTAACCTGCATTTGCTGGATATTAAGAGGCAAGACAAATCGTTACTGAAGGTAAGAGAGAAAAAGCGTTTGCAAAAGTCGGGTTAAAGGTCTCCTTCGCAAATGCAGTGAGAATACTGCAGCAATTATTCCTATTATTAATAATAATTTCTGAATTATATTTCTGATCTATATACCCATCCAGAAGCATGATGCTCCATGTGTATAAGGTGGACAGTTCAAGACAGATTTTGTTTCGGGTTTGACAAAACCGTTACAAAATCGGCAAATAAAGAGTGGACAGCGGTTGTAAACTTTAAAATGTTCCACTGTTTCCATTCCATTTATGCAACCCGGTTTCTCCAGTGCTGTTTGGAGTGGGGGGAGCTTTTTTATTAATCTGACACTTCCTTCTCCCCAGATGGTTGGAAGGTCTGTTGAATTAGCAAATTACAGAGGCAAATGTAACACCTAGAACAGGTATTTCATTCCAAGAAGGCACAAGTGCTCCTTTGAAGGGTTTGAATGAAAAATACCCTGTGGTTGTAGCCAGATGCAGGATAAATTCTAATGTTTTGGTGTGGACTTTTGCCTGCGTAATAGAAATTTCTCTTCCCCTTGCAGCCCTGCAAAACTACTCTGCAGGGATCCCACAACCCCCCAGAGGAGATTCACAAATAGGGATAAATTGTAAATTTAGTTCAGTTTGTGTTTGATCGGCATTTGCTCACCTCACCACTTCCAGACTCAGATGCTTGCCATGCGATTTGCAATCAAAATAAATGCACCAGGCAGCATGAGTATCCATGACACACGTGTGAGCAACAAGGCACGCTTTGAAAAATGCACACCAATGCGTCCTTTTGAGAGAGAAGAATGTGTGTGCTTCCAAAGTGTGCTCGAGAGATGTGTGCATTCTGAAAAATTCACATGCAAAGATGCACAGGTTTCCAAGCTAAGAGAAAAGAACTCAACCCTTGTCATTTGACAAGATCACAAGTTGGAATGGACTTTGGGAAGGGATTCGAGGAGCATTTCTGTGAGCCCAAGTTTTGTTAATCGGTATTTGCAGGGTGAAGGAGAAATTTGAGCTCCTGAAGGTTATAGCCGGCTGCTTGGAGGCCATTCACTAGATAGAATTATCATCATCATCTTCATCATGATCATTATCATCTGTACCACCTGATAGCCAAAGCTCTCTGAGCAGCTTACAGCAGTATTTAACAATAAAATGCTATATGTAAACAACAATCTAGTATAATCACATGCAATGAATCATCACAAAACCCGACGTGAGGTGACCTTCGTCCCACTGAAATCAGTAGGACATATTAATCAAGACTCAAATCCCACTCCTTTTCTGCGGAACGAAGGCTTCTCTTTTTGTCTGGATGCTACACTCGCTTTCTTCTCAAGAGTGAAGAAAAAGAACTCAGATTGTCTCCCCCTTTCCTCCCCCCTTCTGTTTTCTTTGCTGGTTTTGCTTCACTCTTACCATTTGATTGGGTTTTCGTTGCTTTTAGAATTGTACTGTGCTTCTGTTTTATTTTTATACACTGTTTCAGAGGGCTCCATCATCCCTGAAAGCTGGCTAAGAATAAAATCACTAAAAATATGCAGGCCTTTTCCGAGAGTAAGGGGATAGGTCTGTGCCCCAAGGGGCTTGCAATCTATAAATTAACCCAAAGAGGCAACAGTGCAATGCGGCTGCAGGGGTCAGCTGGGAAGGGTATGCGGGGTGTCTTGTTGGGGGGGAGCATTCAGATACGCCTTTTTAAGGGACCCAGGCTATTACCAGCTGGCAAAGTGCATTTTCCTAACCCTCAAGGCATGATAGGCTGCACCTGATCCTTCAGCCAAGGGTTGCCATGGATCAGGTCCAAGCTCTCTTGTCTGATCCAGACCCCCAGCAAACTAGGGATGGTTTGTTGCCACTTAGAGATCCCTTGTTACAAAGATTTAGGACTCCAGGCAGCTTCAAGGGCTCCAGAGTCCCAGCCGTGGCGTTAGAAACTTGCCCCAGGGGGGCAGGTGGGACTCTGAGCTCCTGCTGTCCTTCTGCTGGTTCCCCTTCTGTGCTGCTCGCAAGAGTGACCCAACCGCGGCCTTTTGTGGGCGTTCCAGGGGACACGGAGCGAAGAAGGCAGGTGGTGCTGCCAGTGCCTCAGCCGCCGCCTCTTACACTCTGGGGAAAAACTTTGGATGCCCCACATGTGAATTTTGGCCATTTAAATATTGTGCAGCAATATGGGGAGGATGCCTTGGGCCCTGTGCTGGATTGCACTGCCCCTGTGGATTGCCAGAGCTGAAAGAAAAAAGCGGCAGTTACCACCCAGAGAACACGATTAATGGGAAACACAAAAATGTTCTAAATCAGGGGAGAGGAAGTGGATCCCCACCCAGCCTGAAGGACATGATGGTGCTCAGCCAAAGCACCGGGTGGATTAAACCTCAGAAATCGGCTTCCTCACTATAGAAGACGGGTCAAAGAAGGGTGTTCTGGGGTGAGGTGCCATGACTAAAAAGGCCCCGTCTCTTGTCACCATCAACCTCTCTTTCAAATCCGGGGACACTCTCCGCAGGACCGCAGGAGAAGTCCTCAATTGCAAGGCTGACTCATACGGGCACCTTATTCCAGGGCTGGTCCAAGACATTTTGCCGCCTGAGTTGACGGGCAAGATGGCAGCCCTCTCCGCACGCAAAGGCTGGTTGGCCTGGAAGCTGAATCCTAACTTCAGGGACAGCAGCATCCAGCACACCGGGGGAGGCAAGTCGTGCTGGACTGGGGGCCCCCGGCGTGGCGTGTGTCCTACTCAGCTCAGTCCTCTAATAGAAAGAAACAGCTAGAGAGTTTATGGGCAACACAGGCGACCTCAGCACCTGCTACAAAGGCAGTTGCCGCTTTCTGTATCATAATCAGCAGCAGCAGCAATAATAATCCTGTACCAATCAATAGCCAAAACTCTCTAGCCATTTTACAAACAGTTTCTCCAAGTACAATAATAAAAATGGACATGATGAAAAATACAGTCAGTGCAAAATTCCAATGCACACGTTTTGAAATGCCGTGAGCATTGAACATTTGATCGGTGTGTACCTTCCCAGCATCTCTGCTTTCCTACCCCTTCGCTGGTAACGCTGCCTCTTCCGACTGTTGTTTCGAATGCCTGGTGCGGCAACGAAAATTACAGAGGGGAAGCAAAAAATAGCCGTCCTGTGCCCATTTTTAAAAACTCCTTTTCAGAGGTTGTTTTTCCTCAGCAGACATGTCTATGCTTTGCTGCTTTCATTTAATGAACTCTTTATTGATGCAATGTAGCCTAGTGGTTAGAGTGTTGAACTGGGAAATAGGATTCCAGTCTCCTCTCACCCTGATATTTGGGCCACACACAGGCCTTCAGCCTAACCAACCTCACAAGGCTGTTGTGAAGATAAGATGAAGAGGATGAGGAGGATTATGTGAATGGCTTGGGTTAATTGGAGCTATTAAATGTGATAAATAAATATCTAGGCACCATGCTGGGCATGATTTCTCAGTTTAAATTTGCATGTTCCAGTGATTTCATCGCTGTGAGTCTGTATTGGTGAAATTATCTCCTCATCTCTTGGAAAGTTGCAGTGGCCCTTTGTCTGAACGCAAAAAATAAATAAAAGCTGACGGAATCTGAACATGCTAAGAGTGCTAAAGTACCTGCCTACCTTTCAGCTTGCCAGGAAATACGGGCCGATATTCACCCTCCATTTTGGATTCCAGAAAGTCGTAGTTCTGACTGGCTACGACGTGGTGCGGGATGCCCTCGTGAATTTCACAGATGAATTTGTGGACAGGCCGCAGATACCAATATTTGAACAGATTCAGCACGGAAACGGTAAATCAACAAACTTGCCCTAATTTCTGACTCTTCCAAGTCACACTTTTATGACTCCCTTTTCAGCTCTTCAGTACCACCAAATTGACCCAAGCAGCATAGGCACAGACACACACACACACACACACACACACACACACACACACACAGAGAGAGAGAGCGAGCGAGCGTGAGAGCGAGCGCACAGACACCAAATAGCCCAATCCTGCCTAATCTTGGAAGCTAAGCAGGTTTAGACCTGGTTGAAATCTGAATGGGTGACTTAATCTTGTGAACCTCCCAAAGAGCCTCAATGGTCTAGAAATGTTATATTATGATTATGATTAATAATAATAAATCCAAACAATAGGAATGCCCAGTTCTAAAGCACTGAGTTGCAATCTATCCCATTTTCTCTCTCCTAGTAGACTTGAATTCCTTTATGAACCACCCTGCTATTTGCAAAGATGAAGGGCAGTCTGAAATTGTTTTAATATTAATTCATCTATTAAATCCCACCCTCTTTTCCTCCAGGAATCCTCCTCTTTTCCCTCTCAACACAACCCTGCAAGGTGGGCTAGGCAGCAGGATGCGGTGAGTCCCCCAATCCACCCACCCCAAGTGTGGGAACCCAAGTCTTATGCGATAATCTCCTCCCCGCAGGGGTTTTCTTTTCTACTGGGGAGCTGTGGAGGACAATCCGGAGGTTCACCGTCTCCAGCATGCGCAACCTTGGAATGGGGAAAAAGGCCTTGGAGGAGCAGGTCACCGAAGAACTCCGATTTCTTGTAGAGAACATTAAATCTTTCAAAGGTGAGCTGGGTCCTCAGAGCAACTATGTCTGTTTCTTTTGGACTGTTTCCTCGGGTCATGTGCTAAGTGCCTGGGCTTTTTCCTTGCCAAAGACTGGAAAAAATGCTTTCGCTCATCCCCCTGTACAGCTCCTGCGTTGTTTTGCGATTGCCGGTCCCCATGACGCACGCGTATTTCCCATACACCTCTCCAACCGTCCCTGTTTAGCAGAGACTGGTTCTTTTTCTTTGCCCTCGACCTGGAGATGCTCTCATCCCTGTTTCGGCATTTGGTGAACGTCTTGCCGATCTTCGTTTGCTAGTGTTTCCATTTCCGGACTCAAGGAGACTGAATCTCTAAGTGAGTGCGGTTTAGGTGGGTGGATGTTAGTGATCTTGGGGTAGGTAAGTGACAGCTCAGAAGCACTGCAGCCCCAGCCAACACCTGCCCAGGTATTTGCCACGCGGCCGCTGTCGAGGGATGCTGTGGACTGCGGGTAGCTTATCGCTCAGTGCTCTTGGACATTTGAGACCGCCTTACGGCACGGGTTCTCGTACGGGTGTCTTCTTTGCTCCTTCCAGTTTCCCTTGCAACTGTGCATGATGGAGCTGAAGTCTTGCTTGATGTGTTTCCTTTCTATACTGCCCAATACCCGAGGCTCTCTCTCAGGTCACCTTAGTTAGCAATGCGTTTGATAGGAAAGCCAGGCTGAAGGAGGACTGGACTATAGCGATGCGGGTGCTCGACTAGGAGAACCGGGTTCTAGTCCCTGAAGCTCACTGGGTGACTTTTGGCCAGTCACAGACTCTCAACAGATCCTACCTCGCAGGGCTGTTGCCGTGAGGCTCAAGCGAGAGGAGGAAAACTTTGTAAGCCGCCATGGGTTCCATGCAAGAGGGAGAACGGCGGGATGTCAACGCAAGGGAATAATAAACAGAAACGCTCGTGCACCAGGGCTCACTCATCAACCCCAACCAATTTTGTTTCCACGGCCATTATTCCCCCGTTCACCTTGCTCTGCCTGTTGAGCTGACCATTGGCAAGGTAAATTTTTACCTGGGAACCCTCCATTGATTGACTATCCCAAAGTTTTGCGTTCCTTTTTGTTAACAACACGTTTTCCACAGCGATGGCCTGGATTACTGTCCCTTTTACTGACCCCCTGCTTCCTCTCCGAAGGAGACCCTTTCAGCCTCAGAACTTTTAACGCTGCCCCGAGCAACATTACCTTCGCTCTGCTTTTCGGGGAGAGGTTCGACTACCAAGATCCATTATTCCTCACCCTGCTAAAACTCATAGATGAAGTGATGTGTCTCCTCGGATCGCCTTCCTTGCACGTAAGCAAATGCAGTCTTTGTGTCTGGGATTAGGAAACAGGAGGTCCAGTCTAGAAAATGAGGGGACACCCAGGAGGAGCGAAAAAGGGGGGGTCGGAAAGGGAGAAAAAAGCCACCTACTTTTGGCATGTCACCCAACAAACTGCTCCCACGAGATGCAGCCCCTTGCGCCTATCAGGAAATGTGGCCTTGAATATTTCTGAGAGCAGATGGCTTCTGAAATGGTTCCTCGGTCATAGAATGGGTGCTTGGTAGGAAATCCGTGCAGAGCTGGCAGGAAGTAGGTTGCTGAACTTTGCAAGAGGTCAGGTTCAAGCGGGAGAATCGAGGATTATCCTGATCCTCACTGGGACCCTCCTTCTCATGCTCCAGGTAGCTCAGAGCAATCCTTGCTCCTTGAGAGATTTGGGGAGGACGTAGACAATAGAAGCAACCTCCTGCCAGGACAAATGCCCAAGTTCAGATACCCGCCATGAACCCGCTTGGGGATGGTCCTCACTAAGGAGCAGGAACATGGATAGCACATGGACAGCCAGTGCGTTCTGCAGGTCACACTTCACAAGGCAGGACCTTGGAGAGCACACTGCATAACCATCTGGCTGGAGGGAGCTGTTGTCACAGCAGAGAACCAAGGCCAGCTGAAGCCTTAAGAAGGCTGGCAGAGCCTGGTCTCCCAGAGGCTCTGCCCCTGCCAAATGCTGCCCACACTGCTTAAAGGGCCAGCGCCACTTTCTGCAGTCTCACACTCTTCTGTGGCTGAGGGACAAGAGAAGCTGCAGGGGAGCCATCCTCAGGGTTAGATCTTGGGAGAGTGACATCATTGAGCTGGACAATACTGAAGGGTGTATTGAGGGGTGGCCAATGACCTGTCCAAATCAGAGTCCTGGGGGTAACACAGACCCTCAAAACCAGAGGACACCACAGAGACACACACAGCTTATGCACCAAGTTCCATCTTAGCCCCCTGTTCCCCATGAATTGCTCCTGTGTACATTTTTCCATGCTTTTCAAGGCAACTGATGTTTCCTCTCCTCCCCCCCCAACTCTTTTTTCTTCTTCTGCATTTGTTCCTTACTAGCTGTTTAACTTCTACCCGTTCCTTGGATTTCTTTTCAACACTCACAAAATTTTACTTAAAAAAATCGAAGAGGTCCGTGTCATTATACGGGATTACATCAAGACAAGCAGACAAGATATTAATGCAAACAGCTTCAGAAGCTACACAGATGCATTGGTCTTCAAGCAACAAGAGGTATTTTGCTGATTCAGACCACAAGTCTTAATAGAGGAAATTTCATGGATGGGAACCAAGATTTACGTAGTCCAATATTCTGACTCCAAAAGCATCCGTCCGGATGATTCATTCATTATTATTGCTATCACATTATTATGAATATAATTAAGCACCCAATATTTTCTAAGCACTGTGCAGCTGCTAAACAATGGGGCAGCTGCTATTTGCAGGTTCCCAACTTCTAGACGCGATACAAATGAGTCTGGAAGGAAGAGGAACGTAACCTGCTTTGGAAGGGCCAGCATGCTTAGACCAAAGATCTTCCTCGTGCACTTAGAATTTTGTCTCATATACGGTGTGGAAGTCAAAATACTTTCTCTCTCTTTTTTGGCTTTAATTTCTATCATGTCCTGCACCTTCCACCTTAGGACATGAACAAAACGGACAGTCTTTTCCATGAAGACAACTTGATCGCATCCATCCTGGATCTCATTATGGCTGGGACGGAGACGACTGCGACAACATTGCAGTGGGCCGTTCTGCTACTGATGAAATACCCCAAGATTCAAAGTGAGCCGCTGCTTCATCCCGCAAGTCTAATTTTATTCATTGCAGCTTTGGTAGAGCAAGAGTGGGGAAAAGGTAAATTGCAAAATTTCTAAGATTTCGCTGCAGATCAGCGGATGCTAAATAATGAAAGTATCTGCAGCTCAGACTCTCAGATGAAAAAAGGGGCAGATGTCCACATACTAATTTATATGCAGTCTCTCTCTGTCTCTCTTTAATGGAATCTGTCTCGTTAGGATATCACCTTTTTCTCTGAGGATACATTTAGAAGAACAAACAAAAGACACAGATTCAGAAAAGTGACCTCTGAGAAACTGAAGTTGGGCTCTTATTCTCGGGCCGCAGGAGCGAGAGGCATTGAATGTCTTACATGGTGCCGAGCCTCAGGTCTGGGGTCATGTCTGGCCATCCTGAGGCCCCAGAGCAGCCAGCCAGGGGTCCCCGGATGGCCACACGCCTTCCCCTGGCCTCACCCCCTTTCTCGCAACGCCACGCAGTTCGTGGCTCCCCAGACGTGTGCCGTGTCAAAGCTGGGGGGAGGAGAGAGACTTCCAAAGGCAAGGAAGGTAACTGGAGGCCACCCTCCGCGGTTGTTTCAGAGAAGATTCAAGAGGAGATTGGGCAGGTGGTGAAGCCGGGCAGCTGGGCCAGCTACGAGGACCGCAAGAGCATGCCCTTCACCCACGCCGTCATCCACGAGGTGCAGCGCTTCATCACCCTACTGCCCCACGTCCCGCGCAGCACGTCCGTCGACACACACTTCAGGGGCTACTTTCTCCCCAAGGTACCCACCTCCCCGAGCGCAGGTGCCTTGCACCACCCCGCTGTTGCCAGCCGAGCCGAACTGAGCAGGTGCCGAGACTGCGGCGGGGGTTGGATTCCACTGCTGCTCCCAAATACCTGGAGCACCCCAGGCTGCCTCCGCCAGGGTGGGCTCCAGTCCCAGTGTGCCGGGGCCGTGTCCCTCCCATGCACGCTCTCTGTGTTCCAGGGCACCATGGTGATCCCCTCCCTCACATCCGTCCTGCTGGACCCCGGCCACTGGGAGACGCCGCACGAGTTCAACCCAAACCACTTCCTGGATGCCGACGGGAAGTTTGTCAAGAAAGAAGCCTTCGTGCCCTTCTCCTTAGGTACCTGAAGGGGTTCAGCTTGTCCTCCATCCATTGGAAGGTGACCATCGAGTCCAGAAGCTTCCTGAGATGGTCGCAGCATTTTCAGCAGCCCATGGTACCCTCGGTTGGGTTTGTGGCTATAAGCCCGCATCAAGCACTAGTCCCCGGAATGGACAGCACTGACGATGCTTCCCAGATCATCGTCTGTACTGTCAACCTTCCCACAACCTTGAAAGGTTGGCCAGTGCCTCGAACCCCATAATCCACACAGGGCTGAAGCTGTTGGTTGTCTAAGGCCACTTAGTGAGGGGTTTTTTTGTGGGGGAGGGGGAAGGCAAGGTCTGAACTGGGAGGGAAGCTTTAATTCACAGCAGTCCCGTTAACCATGGCACGCTGCTAGCTGCCCCATGGGCAAAATTTCGGTATGGGCTAATTTTAAGGATCCGCGCTTCCAGGAGACCCTTTTTTCAGGTTCGCCATTGCGGGATCCAGAGGAAACGCCACTCCTTGTTGCTTTTGCAGGGCGCCGGGGCTGCATTGGGGAGAGCCTGGCCAAAACAGAGCTTTTCCTGTTCTTCGTGGGCCTGCTGCAGAAATTCACTTTCCGTCCACCACCTGGGCTGACAGAAGACGACTTGGACTTGAACGTTCCCAAGACTACCTTCACGTTGAGACCACAGCCTCAGCTGATTTGTGCCATTCCTCGCGAGTAAAGCTGCCAAATATTTGTGTGCGACCTTGTGCCAAGCAGTTGCCTCACTCTAGGGGTGTGAGAAATCTCATCTCCAGCTCATCATGACCCCTGCTCTGGTTTCCTTGATGGAATCCAGTCCATCTTCCTCTTCCTCTTCCCTCAGTTTTCCATAGTATGGTGGTCTTTCTTCAGGGCTTGCCTTCTGATGAGGAGCAACCTCTGTATTGTCCTTTTTGCTTCAAGGGAAAGCTCTGGCTTGATCTGACTTGGGACCCCCTTGGCCTCCTTGCTGCCAGTCCAGGGCATTCGCAAAGCTCTCCTCCTCACCACACTTTGAATGCATCACTTCAAACTAGCCCACTTGCCTTGATACATGGACAAGGAACATGCTTGCCACTTGCACGGTTGCGATTTTAAGTGTGCACATAAAATTGTGTGGATAGCAGTGACCTTGACATCATATCCTTGGACGTCTAAAATAGATTTGACACACTTCCTCACCAAATGCTCTTTGGTAAACACCTGACATGGGCTCAGAGAACCCTTCCTCTTACACGGGTTAAGAAACTGGAAGAAGAGAACTGCCAGGCTGGGACGATCAGTGAGAAAAGCTCTTTTCTCTGCCCTTTGACATCCCATGCAGCTTCCTGTCTTGGCCCAAATCAAGTGAGGCCGGCTCCAAAGGACAATGTATAGTTCTGGAGGTTCTATCTTTTAAAAAAGGGATCGTGCGGAGCTGGAAAAGGTGCAGACCAAAGCAGCCCAGGTTATCACTGGGCTGGAGCAGCTCTGCTGTTTGGGAAGATGACCCTGTTTGAAGCAATTTGATTTGGGGGAGGAGGGGAGAAGTGAGGCCAGTGTTTAATCCAAATCTCTCTGGCGCTTCCAAACAAGGATTTTATGGTGCTCTCACCTTGCCTCAATTAAGGAAGTTTATGCTGTCTTCTATCTACGTCCTTCCTGAATTTTCTTACTGCTTCCCTCAACTTTTTCCAGAAAGCAGAAAATCCATTCTGGAGGAAACAGGTGCACAAGGTCATCGAATTGCTAGAGCTGGAAGCCCTCTGGACACCCTCCAGATGTTTTGACAGCGATTCGCTGTCCTCCTGTCCTCTGGCGCTGATGCAAACTGAACTCCAAAACATCTGGAAGGTACCAGTTTGGGAAACCAACTTCTTAATTCCTGCTGCCACCTGGTGGCCAGACCATTGATAGCAGCCTGCCTCCCGCGGGAGCGAGCAGCCATTCCCAATGCAAAGCCTCCGCTGTCCAGTCTCTGTCACTGCAAGCTCTTCCACCAGCTAGAAGTTCGCTTCTCTTCTTCTTTGGAACTGCATCGCTGCTTCCAGAGAAGGCTTTTGGGGTGCAGCTGTCAGGCTTCTTTTGTGCAATTTTGCAGGGAATCCAAACATGTCACCCACTGTTGTTTCCATTTAAAAAAGCACAGAAAATACAGTAAAGGTGGGACAGAACAAAACAGCCATGCGATCTCTTTGCATGTGTGGAAAAGAACCTGCACAACTGATCCAAGGGGGAGCATAGGCCCTGTGGAAGAAGGCAGGATGTCTGGGTGCCCCTTCTTCTCTGACTGCAAAGCCGTTTCAGTTCCCACCATGGTTTGTCATCGCATCCAAACCTGGAAAGCAGCTGTCGATAACCCCTCCACAGACCAAGGGTTATTTGAAGGTTGTTTAACTCTCAAACAAGGCCTGCCAGCTGCGTCTGGGCAACATAAGAAACCGTGGCAGTGTTGGATATTCAGAAGGACCACCGATCTGTACATCAGCCCACCATGGCTTAAATAAACCATGGTGGGCTGGTTTATACAAACTTTCAGACCACATAGGAACGCACATTCAAGGGCTGGGGATGGGTTGAGTTGGACTGTCTTTGCACTATGGTTGCTGATGAACCAGGGTTATCATGTTGTGTGAACTCAGCTGCTCTAACAGGCTGCGGCTTTTTAACTATGACGGGAACCCGTGTTTGGCTGACTGTATTCAGACAACACAATAACTCACCTTTCAAACCACAGTTTGGAGACAGCCCATACTCCACATGCACCGAAGCCTTGAGCAGACAGCGCAATGGCAACCTGTGCTCAGGCCTGGATTGCAGATTATCTTGTTGGCTGGGCTTAGTCTCAAAACCAGCTTCTCTGTTTGATTCACCAGCCGAGTCCACCCATCGGTCGCTTCCTCTGCCGGGCAGAAGGGCAGGGCCTTTTCCGGGCCCTGGTGTCAGCCAGCCATTCCAAAGAAATGATTTCATGCTGCCTATTTCCTCCACTTGCAGTTCGAAAGCATGCAAATGCAAGTAGATAAAAAGGTACCACTTCGGTGGGCAGGTAACAGCATTCCGTGCACCTTGGTCATTCCGGCCACACAACCACGGAGACTGTCTGCGGACAAGCGCTGGCTCCCTTGGCCAGGAAACCGCCCCCGAGAGTCAGGCATGACTGGACGTAACGTCGAGGGGAAACCTTTACCTTTACCTTTTTTATTTCTCCCACATCAGTCCCTAGCAAGGACACGGTCTCTTTGTGCTTGTGTCCATTTCAAAGCAATCTCTCCAGCAAAGGTGAGGTTGTCGAGGAGAGCAGAAGCGGCTAATCCACGCTTCTTGATGTGCAAATCAGCAGCTGGCATCTGCCAGCACAGCTTTCCCTTCAGTTCCCCTCTGTGAGGGGAAGGGGGAGAAGGAGGTGGGCACTGCTGCATGCATGAGTGCCTGCTGATTCATTCTGAACCGCTGAAGCACCAGGGCTACCAGCAAAACAATTCTAGGACATGTCCTGTTTATGCTGAGATACTGAAGACGCAGAATTCTTCAGGATCTATGTACAGAAGCTGTCTTGAACACAGCAGCCACCTCTCTGAGATTCTCCACTTGTATGTTTGTTTTGTTTTATACTCAAGTTTCTAGTCCTTATGATTGTAGTTAAAGATGTCTGATTTTGTTTTCTTATTTTACAGTCAATTGTTTTGATTTTTTCCCTACAGAAACCATCTAATTATATGTCATTGCATGCCCGGTTTGCACCTCAGTGGGTGCTTGGCACACTTCCCCCCTAGCGGGTGAGCAGAGACGTGTGCGAAGTGAGCAATGGCTGCAAAAGCCACATGGCCGGGGTTCTGCTGCCAGGTCAGGTAGACACCCATTTCTCTGTGCTTACACGGTGCACACAGGATAGCAAAGGACCACACCTTGTGTGGTTCGTGGGAAAGAGATGGACAGCAAGGGCAACTTGTATACCTAAGAGAATCAGGAGCTCAAGCCCAGGATCCAAATCTGAGCCCCTGGGCTTGCCTAGGCAGCTACAACCTTTCCACTGACCACGCGCACTTTCCCCAAGATGGTTTGCCATCTTTGCTGCTGTTTTCCCCATTCCAAAAATCTTCTTCTAAGGCTTATACACTGGCAGCCGGAATTTGAAGCTCAAATATGCAGCTATATTTTTCCGAACCCGTTTGCCTTCGGCACCGTGCAGGAATGCCAGTGTGGCGTAGTGCTTAAGAGCACAGGACGGGGACTCAGGCGATCCGGGTTCGAGTCCCCGCTCGGCCATGGAGCCAAATGGGTGACTTTGAGCCAGTCATAGACTCTCAGCCAGCCTACCTCACAGGGTAGTTGTTGTGGGGATAAGACTGAGAGCAGGAGGAGGAGAATGAAGTAAGCTGCCTTGATTTCTTCAAAATAAAAAAGATGGGATATAAATCTAATAAATCAATTCACCCCGTGCTACCCAAGCATGTCCCCAAATATAATTTAGGCCCTGAATTGAGAGAGATTCAAAACTCCTGCATTATACAGCATGAGACCACATACTGAGGTTATTATCCTATGTTCGCATTGTTGTTGTTCGTCGAGAAGTCGTGTCCGACCCATCGCGACCCCATGGACAACACTCCTCCAGGCCTTCCTGTCCTCCGCCATCCCCCGGAGTCCACTCAAGCTCAGGCCAACTGCCTCAGTGACTCCATCCAGCCACCTCATCCTCTGCCGTCCCCTTCTTCTTTTGCCATCTAGTGTTCCCAGCATTAGACTCTATGTTTGCATACCAAGGACCAAGTCCCAACAAATGCCATGGGACCCAGTTCTGCCTACTCAAGTCTAGAATACTTTTATGAGGAACAGAATGTTGATTACATCACTTCTGTTTTAGTTTTCACTTGTTTTTCCCCAAGCTTTCCTTTTCAGAAATGATCTCCCTGCATTTAGTAAACTAGCACACCGGGGGGAAAGTACAGCGTTGCTTTTCCTTGAAGTGCTAGCTTACCATATGCAGGGAGTTTCTTCACATGTTGCGTCTTAACCCAAGGAGTCTTCCAAACGATGCTCACAATGAGATGTGTGAACTGGAAATTACCACCTGAGTGGAACAAGGCAGAATTTCACCAGCGCATGATCCCCTTCAGGCCAAGCCGTAGATTCTGTTTCGTCTCCCATACCTGCTTCAGGGTTTGGGGGCAGGCTGCAGCGGTGACAAGGAGAAGCAACTCCGGGGGGGGGGGCTTGCTGCGGGCCCTTGTTTGGTGTGTGAACCCCCTGAGTATCAGTGGGGTCATTCACTTAGTCGCAGCTCCTTCCCTGAATGCAGTCTCAGGAATTTAACTTCCAGAGACGGGGAACAAGCCTGAAAGACGACGGACCTGGCCACTCAAACACTGTTTAAGAGAAAAAAATTGGGGCCCCCAAAAGAGAAAAATTGGGACAAAATACAGGTGGTGGGGACCTTGTTAGCACACGGTGGGGTGGGTCCCTTCAGCAAAGGTGGGGAGGGGGCTTCAGCGCTTCGCCCCCACGGTGTCCTGGTCCGCCTTGGGGTGGGACTGAGGCAAAGGTGCATCTGCTCTCCAGAGCGGGAGAAAGCTCCGATTGCTCGGGGCAGACGCAGCGACCGGGGACGAAAAGATCAACTTCAGGCCGACTGCCGGAAAGTCGGAGGCGTGCTCTGCCGTGTGCATGTGCCTTCCCAGGGTGCTGCAAATAGGAGCGCGTGGACAGGGGGAGACCCCA